CTCCCTCCCTCCCTCCCTCCTGCAAAATTCGCTTTTCCTGGGAGTAAGTCAGCCAGGTCGTCCGTCTCAGGCTTGTTTGCCTCAGCGAACGTGTCACAATGACTCGGCAAATCTAAGCATAAAGGATTTCAATCCGCCGCACACCCCTCTTTTCCCCCCAATCTGGCTCTGAGGCAATTTTCCGGGGCTGGGAGAGGCTCAGAGGGCGTGCCCAACAGAGCCCCGGATTCCATCAGAAACGTCCTCCTTGTGCCCCGCGGTGGTTTCAGGACAGTGTCCAGATGGACATGCCTCCCAGCCCCCTTCCCCCCACAATCCATGAGGCCCCCTCTCACCCCCACAGGACACCCTCACTCCAAGTCTGTGCTGTTCCTGTTCACACCCCAGACAACCTTTCCTACCCATAACTGCAGCCACAGCGAGCTCCGCCCTGCGCCCCAGGGCTCAGGCGGCCAGCTCCGCCTTTGCTGGCTACCCAGTGGGCCTGGCTGGGCCAGGCCAGGTATAAAGTCGCTGGAGCTCTGCAGGCAGCACCACCAAGTCTCCCAAAACCTTGGCCCAACCAGAGCCGCCCGGACTAACAGCAGCCCAGCCGTCCCCGCACCGCGGGAGCCATGACTGGTGAGTGCCCCACCACGGAGCACGCAGCCTCCCGGGCACGCAGCCCTCAGTCCTCGTTCGTCTGCGGGCCCCTGTAGACAGGGCTCGGCCCAGTTTTCTTCCTTGACTCATAACGGGAAAACTAAAGGCATTAGGGTCCCCGGATGAGACCTGAATAGACCTCAGAATAGGGGAGCTCCTGTGTCTACCCCGTCCTCACAAATTTGGGTGGGCATTTAGGAGAGACTTGATCTTGGAAGCAAAATATTCCCTCCAAAACAGGTCAGAAACTGGCGTCAGAGGCCACATCCCGCCCACTGGCACATCTTCCTATGCCTTATAGTATTTAAATTATTTTGGAATAAGTTGCCAAAATTTAAAATAAATGTAGGTGATTTCACTTAGAAATGTGGATTCCCAGCTTCTGAAGGGAAACCACCACCTGGCAGCGATGGGTGGGCCGGATGGAGCTGGCGAAGCTGCTGCTCCGTCTAGTTGTGGGACAGGCTAGTCCCTGGAGACCTTTTCAATTGTGATCCTTGGATTGGTAAATCCGATCTGGTCATTGGGTCCATTTCGAGTGATAGGGCCTCCCCTCTCCGCCATCAACCTGATGGGACCTTAGAGGTCACCACAACTTTTCTGACGCATGAATGGCCTCTGACACAACCTGGACCAGCTGCCACACCTGGAGGGGCTGGAATCTCCATTCCCCAGAGAGCCTCACTCGGAGTGAGACTGGACAGCACCAACATTTACAATAGAAAACTGTTTGCTCAACGGAAGGGCATAACTCTACCTTTTCATAGTTTCCTTCCTTCTGCATCTAGTTCTGCCTTCTGAACACAGAGAGAACTACAAAATGTTCAGTATTTACGTGTAACTTACACCAGATTGAGGTGAAATGGGAAGATTTGGAACTTGTATAAGTAGTATTAACTGTACCCAGCTAACCAAATCTTAGGCCAACTGAAGCATCCAAAGCATTTGTTTGCAACTAACAGATGCCTCTGACTCTCACGCACATTCCTTGAGGAATCGAGTGAGCCCAGAGGGCAGAGAGGCAGGACCTAGGAAATTGATTTGAGGGCCTGTCTTTATATATCAAACAGGTTTTCCTTGGCTGTTTATTCTTCCTTCCAATCGATCATGTGGGCCATATACCTTTTACTGTTAAAGATATCTAGACATGCTTTACATAACACAATGTACCACAATCTGTTTCTCTGCCAACTTTATCTTTTTTTGTCGTTATGTTCTATGTTGGTCATCGATGAAACTGCAGGTTGACAGAGTACAGTTGAATCTGGAAGGTTAGTGTAAACTCCTGGTTTCACACTGGCCTGTGAATTGTAGGAATATCAGAGCAATAGAGGAGGACATAGGTCAGCTCCCAAGGACAGTCAGGATGCTTCGGCCACCAGAATGCCCTCTCCACAAAGAGAAAGATTTGTGTCTGGTGTAGTCCAAATACCCAGAGCAGTGCCTGGTGCATAGTACCTGCTCAATAAACACCATTTTTTGAGGCGGAAGGGTTGGGAGGATGGGCTAGAGAGAAAATGAACATTTCAGGGGGAGAAAGAAAAGTTGGCAGGGGTGGACTTGGGGTGGAAATAGGGGAAGGAATTAGGTAAGGGAAGAAATGAGGGCTTTCAGGACATGGAGACATGGGATGAACTAGGAGCAGATGTTGGCAGGACTGAGATCTGAAAGTGAACCCAGTGCCAAGAGAGACCTGCGCTAACAAAGATATGCTCATGTCCTGGATATGGTCGCTTCTATCAGATAAGTAAATGATGTGCATGAGACACAGAAATGAATCTTAAACTATAGGTACCGATAATTCCACCTGTCTTTCAAGACTCAGCTCCAGCAGCAGCTCCATCAGAGGGCTTTTTCCTCATCAGCCAGCCCTAAAGTAAACAGTTTATCTCTGAGGAACTTTGTCCCTTGCCCCTCCTATCAGGCTCATGCCATTAGTTATTTGTGTGTGTGTCTTACTGCCACTCTTCAGGTAAACCCTGAGAAAGTTTAACTTGTCACATAGCTCATGAAGTGGCACAAAGGGAAACTAAACCCTCCACCTCTAAAAAAACTCAGGTTTGTCCATGAAAAATGACCCAGAAACGAGTGACTCAGGATTATTAGGTTGAGTGATAAATGTGATTTACCCCTTACCTCTGGCAAAGAAACAGGTAATTGCAAGTGAATGTTCTGTTAATTGCCTAGTCATAACCATTGACCTTGTTTCTACTAGATTGTTTTTAGGAATCTATATATTCTAGATATTAAATTTTGTTGGTTGTATTTCTTGCAAATATATTCTTCCTGTTTGTGTCTCATCTTTTTTTTTCTTCTCTCTCTCTCTCTCTCTCTCTCTCTCTCTCTCTCTCTCTCTCTCTCTCTTTTAAAGTAACAGGCATACCTATAGCTAGTAGATGGTGAGTTCCTTGAAAGCAAGGCATAGATATCTGACCTTCCTCATTTTCTGGGAAGCACCTTTATGTTTTTACTACTTAGGAAATGCTTGTTAATATTGGTAATAAGTAAATAATATTGATAACAAGTAAGCAAAGAGAATAAAAATTGATAAAGCAGTATTCAGTAAACATTGATATGACTAATGTGAGGGTAGATCACAAAGAAATTGCAAATCAGAGCTTAATGTACTCACCTTTCTCCTAGTAGCTCTCAGTCCTTGAGTTGCTAACAAAGGCGGTGGGAATTTGTTGCGACAGCCTCAGGAACTCCTTTCCCTTTTCCCAGGCCTTCCGAAGCAGACACATCACTTCTCTAGTACTGAAATCCTCATCAAACTTACATTCCGCCAGATTAGAGTTTATAGAGTCAGAAACGCCAGGACCAAGCTTGGAAACCCTCTCTCTTCGCGTGCAGGGAGAGGCCTGAAGCTTCCACCTGGCTGAATTTAACCTAATAGGAGCTGCCTAATGCCAGGTGTGGTTAAGGCAGGCCGAGAACTGAAGGCACACTTAAATGTGCCTTTCTGAGTTAATTTCCTTCAAACAATACAAAAAAAGTTGCAGGTGCTTTCTCTCCCAACTCCACCCACATCACCCCTGTTAAGAGTTGGCAAGGTACAAGCCAGTGGCCCCCATTATTAGGAGAAATGGTAGTGGCTAACTTCCTGTCTCTGGCACTCCTCCCCACTCCTTCCACATTTTTGCATGGATTTATCTACGTCCATATATTTTTCAGTTATTCCAGCTTCACCACCTACTATGTAAACTTAGGTAGTAACATGCTTAGCTTTCCTGTGCCTCAGTTTTCTCATCCATAAGATGGGGATACTAATTGCAGCTGCCTCATAGGGTTCCCACGGCAATTGAAAAGGAATGCAAAGAACTTAGGGCATTGCCTAGCACATGGTGAGCGCCCGTTAAATGCTGTTATTGCGAAAGTAAAACGTGTTTATTCTAACAACTTTATTAATACAGAGGTGGTCCAAGGAAAAGTGCATCTTTCCTGCCTCTACCCTCTTCCCATTTCTGGCTTATCTAAGAAAACTATTAATAGTTTCCTATGATCATGCCACATGTTTTTCCCCACTCTTACCAATCAATATACTGCAAAACTACCTACATATATATACTTTCTTTTCTTTTTTTTTTTTTTTTTATAAAAATGGAGTCACATTTACTTCATTTTATCAGTTAACAATATATCATAGGTATCTTTCTGGGTCACTATATAGTTAACTCATTCTTGTTAACAGCATATTATTCTGTAGTATGTACATACCATAATTTATTCAAATGCCCCTCCCCCATACATAGACAATTGGGTTTTATCTAATTTTTGCCAGGGCAAAGAATGGTGTAGTACACATCCTGGCTCATAGGTCCTTAGATCCCGATGCTTTTAGTCTGTGGAACAGATTTCCCCAGGTTGGACGGCTAGATCAAAAATTTATGTGCCTTTAACATTTTAAGAGATTCGGCCCAATTATTGTCCCCAAAGTTGCGGCAACTTATATTCCCACTGGAAATCTGTCAGTTTTCCTGCAATCTTGGTAGCACTCAATGTTCAAATTGTTTTGCCAATCCGACAGGTAAATAATATCTCATTTTAATTTGATTTCCCTGACAGACCAGGAGGGGCCCCTTCCCATTTGTTTATTGTCATTTGCATTTTCTTCTCTGTTTGAAGAGTGTGTTCTTACCCTTGACTTATTTTTCTACTGCATCATCTGTCTTCCAATTATCAGTAGGCATTCTTTGGGATTTTAACTCTTCGTGCTAAGAGGTGGGGATATTGTCTCCTAGATCATTGCCTTTTGCCTCTGTGTATGGTGCCTTTTAGTAAACACAAATTTTCTATTTTCATGTGGCTTTATCTGTCAAGGTTTTCCTTCATGGCTTCCGCATTTCTAGTCTTCAAAAGTGTTCTTTATCCTGAGGTTATACACATTCTCCCTCTCCTCCAATACTATTCTAATAAGTTTAATTTTTTTTTTAAATTTAGATCTTTAATCTGCTAGTACATGATTGCTATATGTGGTGTGTCTGTGGATAGTTAAAAACAAAAACTTTTGGGCCGGCCGAGTGGNGCTGTGGAGGGCAGTGTCACTGGCTCTCATATGTGGGATCCAAACCGGGGCCCTCTGGCGTCCCAAGCCAGTTCTTAACCATTGCGCTACTCGGCCGGCCCCATAACCACAATTTTATTATCAGAATGAAAGATGTTAACAGCGCTATACAATACCACCATCTAATCTATGGACCATATTCAAACTTGACCACAAATTTCCTTTATAGCAAATGAGGGATTTTTGGTCTAGGATCCAATCTAGGATCACGCATTGCATTTAGTTGTCATGTCTGTTACTAAGCAGACATAAGAGACTACTCTTAAACTAAAGGGGTTTCTCAAGTCTTTTATCTTTCATGACCCTGACATTTTTGAAAAGTACAAGCGAGTTACTTTGTAGAATGCCTCTTACCTTGGGTTTGTTTAGTATTTCCTCATGGTTAGATTTCAGCTGTGCATTTTTGGCAGGAATGCCAGAAGTGGTGATGTGTCCTGAGTGCATTGTGTTGGGGCATAAAATGATAATCAGTTATCCAGTTTACTTGGTTAAAGGGGTTTCTTATGTAACCACAATATAATCATCAAAACCAAGAAGTTAACGTTTCTTATAATACTGTCTAATCTGTGGACCATATTCAAACTTGGCCACAATTTCCTGTAAAATTATTTGTAATAAGTAACTTAATGAAAAGATGTTACAATACTATGTAAATAGTGTTTCTCATCAAATTTTAACTTGTGGTTAAAGTTGCCCAAATCCATTTTTACAGTGATGGTTGCAAAATGGTGATTTTCTAATTCCACCATCCTTTCTATATTCATTACTTGGCATTCTGCTGTAACAAGGAATTTCCCCTCTTTTTGTATTTATTTATATGCGTTTGGTCTTGTGGATTTTTATTTTAGTCTGTTAGGCTGTGCTCTACACCATCATCATTTATTTAGACTATTCATGGAGGCCCTTTAAGCCAGCTTCTGTGTCCTTTTGACATGTCCCCATTATTCTTGGAACACTTTCCTATTTTCTGGCACAGCAAGGTGTTCCGACTCTTCTTATACTGCCCCTGCCCTGGAATCAGCCATTCCTCTGAACAGCTCTGGGTCTTTATGGAGAATGGTTTTTAGAAGCAAAGATGTGAGCACTGGATGTTACTCATTGCCCTAGAGTGTCATTGATTCTCAGCCCACAGTGGACAGAGATGGGCAATACATGTGTATATAAATATACATGTAAATGTTTTCTATTTCTATATCTGTATTAAAAATTGAATGTAGGGCCGGCCGAGTGGTATGTTGGTTGAGGGTGGGCTTGGGAGTACCAGCTCTGAGCAGCAGGGGCCCGGTTCGGGTCCTGCATGCGGGCCGGTGATACTGCGCCCTCTACAGCTAAGATGGTGAACAGCAGCTCGACCTGGAGCTGGGCTGCCATAGGTCACTGGCGACAGCATAGGCTGCAGCCCCTACTGTGGTGGGCTGCCTTGTGTGGCCGGCAGCCAGCGTGAGTGGCTGGCAGCCAGTGTGGGCGGCCTTCCAATGGCCAGCTACTGGTCTGCCTTACTCGGGAAGAGTGCAGTGATCACAGTGCCAGCATGGGCCAGTGAGGCGACGGCCTCCACAGCTGAACTGGGGAATGGCTGGACAGCAGCTTGTCAGTTCCCNAAAAACAAAAACTTTTTTTGAATACAACAGACACACTGAAAAGTGTACAAGTTCTAAGCGAATTTTCACAAGCTAATCACACACTTATGGGATCACCACACAGATCAAGAAATAGAATATTGCCAGCACCTCAAATGCCTCTTCTGTGCCCTTCCAGTCACTACCCCCTGACTTCTAACACCTTATGTTAGTTTTCCAAGGGGAGAATTTTATTTCCATGCAGATGACTGATGAAGTATGCCAACACCACTGATTACATTAGCCACTGTTTCCCCACTGAGTTAAAATGCCTCCTTTATTTGTTGGTACTTTTAAGAAAAAAAATACCTATTTCTGGCTGCAGTGGATGGGCTGCATAACCTGCTGTGTAACAAAGGCGTCTCTTCCCTGGTAGATCCCGGGTCAGCTCCCCGGTAGCCGGAGATTTGCTGGCTGGTCACTGATTTTCTCCCTATGCTTTGTGTGTGTCTAAATAGCCAGAAAAGCTCTGATTGTACTGGCTCATGAAGAGAAGACGTCCTTCAACTATGCCATGAAGGAGGCTGCTGTCGAGGCTTTGAAGAGGAAAGGCTGGGAGGTCACCGTGTCGGACCTGTACGCCATGAACTTCAATCCCGTCATCTCCAGAAAGGACATCACAGGTAGGAGCAGCTCCCCCCTTTAATTAGGTCTTTGTGGAACTTCTCGCCTGTCGGTTCTCTGGCCCTGCCTTGGCCCCACGGCCTCAGCCTCTTTTTCCTCTCTGCAGGTAAACCGAAGGACCCTGAGAACTTTAAGTACCCTGCTGAGTCCGTTTTAGCTTATAAAGAAGGCCGTCTGAGCCCAGATATTGTGGCCGAACAAAAGAAGCTGGAAGCTGCAGACCTTGTGATTTTTCAGGTGTGGTAGGACATCAGAAGGGGTGTCAGGGTGTATCAATTCTTATTGTCCTAGACCCATCAGCTAATTAGCTATGTATGTGGTCTTAGAAAATCAATTGTTCCCTTTACTGCATTCTCTATAAACAAAGGTAATTACTTCAAAGGTGCAGCGTGATACAGATGTACAGATATCGTGAATCTGGCTGTATTGCTCTTTAAAAATACGAATGTGACTGCCAAGATGGCATGTGAGTCATCAGCTTTACCACCTGGGATAGTTAATCTTTTTTTTTTCTATCGGCGATGCTTCACGGAATCTCTCAGAGTGCAATTCTCCCCTCCCTGTAAGCATTCTGAATCGTTTGTGGAGTGATGCCTGAGCTTGACTTCTCTGCTGCTGGAGCCTGCTGCTGGAGCCTCCTAGCTGATATGCATCATCCTACTGAAGTGTTCTAGCAGCAAGCCACGGCCTTTCTTCTGGAGCAGCAGTTCTCAACCTGTGGGTTGCGACCCCTTTGGGAGTCGAACGACCCTTTCACAGGAGTCGCCTAAGACCATCGGAAAACAAAAAGATATTTACATTACGATTCATAACAGTAGCAAAATTACAGTTATAGAGTAGCAACGAAAATAATTTTAAGGTTGGGGGTCACCACAACATGAGGAACTGTATTAAGGGGTCGTGGCATTAAGAAGGTTGAGAACCGCTGTGGAGGCTGCCTCACCATTTCACAGTCAGCCCTGGAAATGTATATGCTTCTTGTCAGTCATCTTTTTTGAAAATACCAGACTGGACTCAATGACTTTTGCTTCTACCAAGTCCAACCAGCTTTTTTATCTTGAACATGGAAAGTATGTGACACCAGAAATGTCACAAGAAGGTTGATACTGGCTGTGGTTTTTGCAATTATCCAATACTTGCAAAGAACCCAACCTCTGAGGTCTTATTCGACCCCAGGCCTGTTGCTGTGAATCAAAGCCACGTGTCATGAGACACAAAGGCTGCCTCCGTGGTCCACATTCTCTGCTGCATCTCATCCTAGTGCAGCCAAGGCAGCCACTTCTAACTCTGCATCTCAGGATGAACATATTTTAGAATTGGAAAGGACCTTGGTGGTCTTTTAATTTCACTTCTATCCGGTGCATAAGTTTTCTTTCCTATCAGTACAACTGTGCAGGTTGCGCACTGCAAAATATCAACATAACAAAGGGCAATGGACACACTCAAGATTCGTATATTTGTTATAACAGTTTCCCGACAGATGACAGAAAAGTCTTATTCTAGAAAAATCAGTGTACTATGTATGATATCTCTCAACATGGAAATATAGTGTCCTGAGGAAGGAGTGCTTTAATTCACACTGAGGTGCTCTATGGGCTGGTCCCTTGCTCGGGTTACTCACTTGTCCAAAAACAATTTGAGGGAGAGTAAACTTTTAATACCCTGCAAGCCCACCAGTTCTGTTTTCAACTCTGATGGCAGAACACTCCCAAGGAAGCAAGCTTGCTTGCCTAAACGACCTTCCCCTTTTCCCAAAAAGCTGCAGATCTGGCTCCTCGCAATTGGAGAGTTGTAAATGTGAGAATGGGAGAGGCTACTAGATATCATTCAAGCCCTTCTTTTGACAGATGAGGCAAGTGAAACTTAGAGAAGGTCTGGGCTTCTGTGGGAAAGGCCAGACATTACGTTGGTGACAGACTCAGGGTGAGAACACAACTCTCACTTTCAACGCTGTGTTCTCTCTGTTCTAAAAGCCTGCTTCCTCAGTCCCTTTCCTATAGGCCGGCAATCCTTCTAAGGGAGACCTACCGAGCCCTACACATTCTTCTGTGCCCTAGTTTGTTTCTTCGGGGCTCCTTCCACTTGTCACTGTCTTTAACACACGCGTCAAGGAGAGGACATACTGGTATAACCCTTGCTCTGCTTTTATCAGGACGAAAGGCCCAGCAAGACTTTCTCATGGGAATTCCCTGATAAACCTTGCCACACAGATAATTTGTTTGCAAATTGGAGTGGTTCTGTTTAAAAATGATAGGATTTTGCATCTGTGAGCACAAGGTACATGTTCTGTATTTTTGATACCTCGCCTACTAAACAAGCTGTTGAGAAAAATATTGATTTAGGCACATATCAAGGCGAAGTTTGTTTGCAATCCTTGCCGTTGAGACTTCAGGGCCAAATGTGATTTCGTAGGAACAAATCTTATTTGCACGTGCCTTTCTTCAGACCCGCCCAATTTATTCATGCCTTTAGGTAGAAACAGGAGTGTCACATTGGCTGACAAAGGATGATATTTTCTTTCAATGTACTAACTCTTCCAGAAGGAAGGACAAAGGCCTGAAGAAAGTTTGTCCCTCAGAGGAAGGTCTTGGGCAGCCTTCTCCTGTGCTGGGAGACCACTTTGTCATCTGATCTGACCCCTTTGTCATCTGTCCCACAGTTCCCACTGCAGTGGTTTGGAGTCCCTGCTATCCTGAAAGGCTGGTTTGAGCGAGTGTTCATTGGGGAGTTTGCTTACTCATATGCTGCCATGTATGACAAGGGACCTTTCCGGGTAGGTGCACAGTTCTGCTTTTTCTAACAACTGGGTTCTGGGTGGATTCTGTCCGGGGCAGAGTTTTGAGCACAATTAGGTACTAAGATCAGGCTCCAGGTCCCTTTGGGAGAGATGCATAATAAGTTTAAATAGATATGTTGACATCATGTTTAGGATTTGCTTTAAAATACTTCAGGAAAAAAAGGGGGCAAGGGGATTAGATAAAACTAGAATGGCAAAAGACTGAGAGTTGAAGCTGGGTGGTGGGTGCATCATGATACAGGTGACCCTGGAACAACGCAGGTTTGAACTGCATGGGTCCACTTATACGTGGGTTTTTTTTTCAATAAATACTGTTAAGTGTATTTTCTTAATATTTTCTTTTCTCTAGCTTACTTTAAGAATATAGCATATAATACATACAACATGCAAAATACGTGTTAATTGATTGTTTATGTTATCAGTAAAGCTTCTGGTCAACAGTAGGCTGTTAGTAGTTAAGTTTTAGGAAGTCAAAAGTTATATGTGGATTTTCAACTTTGCGTGGGGAGGAGGGCGCCCCGAACCCCTGCATTGTTCAAGGGTCTACTGTACCGTCTTCTCTTCATGTTTGAAATTTTCTGTAGTAAAAATAAAGTCTGTCTTCATTTTTCAGAGCCCCAAACACTACACAAGAAACATTTTGATACCTTCTAGATTACATGCCCAAACACATGCCTAGCACTATGGGGAGACAGAATAAAACGATAAACACGGAACCCCACCTACCACTAGCAGTCCACCCTGGTTTTGCGTTTCCATGACAACCTTCCTCTGATTCGCCACTCGCAGGAGTGTGGAATCCTTGGTTGGCGCCTGCTTACCTGTCCGTGGTACCCTCTTCCAGGCTGGTACTTCTGCCGAGTCTTCCTGTGTGGGAGGAGCCAATGTATGAGTAACAGAAACAGCAGAATGGCGGACTGTGTGCTCTTTTCCCCGGGGGCTGTTTCATTAACTCCCTGTCACCAAGGAACGCAATGACTTCTCTTTTACAGAATAAGAAGGCTGTGCTTTCCATCACCACTGGGGGCAGTGGCTCCATGTACTCGCTGCAGGGTGTCCATGGGGACATGAATGTCCTTCTCTGGCCAATTCAGGTACCTCGTTTGAAATGAACTTTCCGGGGGATTCATTCGTGGTTTTCTATGGGGTTCCAAAGTCTCAGGATAGCAACTGAAAACAGACCTGGAGTGAAAGCATAGTAGTGACTCAACTACAGGGAGCTTCCTTTTAAGCCTTACCTGTGTTCTCAGGCCCCTGTGCTTACAGACTAACCAGTGTGTGTACGTGTCCACACACCACACTCTCCTGACCGAGGACTAGGGCAGATGACCCCTAGATGTGTACAGCTACGTGGTCTGATTCTCTTTAGATAACTGACATCTCTGTCCAATCCTCTCGTCGCTCTCCAAGGTGCTGTTACAGCCTCGCAGATGTTAAAGTCCCCCAAAATTTAGGAAATGATTTCGTTCAGCTAATAAAGCTGAAGCGTGACAGATGCTTTTTGGTGGTCACTGGATTTTCAAGATCATCTCATCTAAGGAAGAGGGTTGGAGAGCGAACAAAGGAGGTGGTCACCTATAATATTGGAGAATTAATATTGGAGACTGCATGATAAGACTCATCTAGTTATGTGGCGAGGCAAAGCAATGCACATCTATGTGCCTTGGCAAGTCAGCGGCCAAGAAGCGGCAACTCGTCCCTAGGTAATAGGGCTCCTGGCACTTTGGGTAGAGGATGCCTGGCTGGCAGTTTCAAGGTGTTATTCCTACAAAGAACATAGCCGGATAGGCTAAAATAGCTAACAGCGAGGTCTAGAGAGCAGAGGTGAGAGAATACAGCTCTGAGCTGGTTCTCGAGTGCCTCAGGTCTCTGTGTCAAGAGCACCTTACTGAGATGCCCAGATGAACTGCTGCTGTGTGCGGTTGGCACCAGCTGCACAGGGTTGGTTCTGTGACTCACCTGTGTACTTCGTGTGTATCCCCAGAGTGGCATTCTGCATTTCTGTGGCTTCCAAGTCTTGGAACCTCAACTGATCTATGGTGTTGGGCACATTCCCGCGGATGCCCGAATTCAGACCCTGGAAGGATGGAAGAAACGCCTGGCGACTATCTGGGATGAGACGCCACTGTATTTTCCTCCAAGTAGTTTCTTTGACCTAAACTTCCAGGCAGGATTCTTAATGAAAAAGGAGGTGCAGGAAGAGCACAAAAACAAGAAATCTGGTCTTTCTGTGGGCCATCACTTGGGCAAGTCCATCCCGACTGACAACCAGATCAAAGCCAGAAAATAAGGTTCACAAGACTTGATCTTTTAAAATGTAGCCAAATATAGGTCTTTTTTTCAGGCTTCCATGATTTGCTTTAGTTTTTAGGATTTGTGTTTTTCTTTTTCCATGAAGAATGAATAGGAGAAAGAATAGGCTGTTTTTATACATTTTTGGATAGTTTTATTAAACATAGTTGATTCTTACAATTGCTATCATGGTAAAATCTGATTCAGCTCAAGAGGCAGCTTAAGAGGTAAAGCAGGGAAAGTTATAGAAAGAAGCCAGACAATATTCTCCAAGGTCTTTACGCAACTTAATCCTTCTTTTTAGGGATACATTTTTAGAGCTAAATCTGGCTAGAAAGCATCCAACTCTTCCTTCAGTGATCTGTTTTCCTTGTAACTGCTTCTCTGTAGTTTATGGCAGAAGGGAACTGCCTAGAGGAAGAAATGACCGAGCTTGTCTGACCTAAGGGACTTGTTTGGTAGTTAGTAACCTATGCTTGTTTGTGATGTATGTTGGTTTTAATTACAATACAGTGACTAATATGCCTAATATGAGTGTGAATGTTCAACTTTGTTGTTTGTATACAGTACACACATACCTTGAAATGAAAGCTAATAAAAGTCTTTACCTCAATCTTCTAATTTAATGTCTGCTGAAATAAAACAACACATCTATATACTACTTCTGCAACAGTGAATGAATTCAAGAAAGGAAATACTAACCCCAGTACTTTAAAACAGCCTTCCACGAACAATGCTTTATTTCTGATCTATATAACCATCTGGAAGGTTTTTGTCTGTATCATTACTAAACCGACAATTTTCCTCTGAAGGATGCGTTTTGGTCCTATGATCCCTTTTGGGATAAAACTTTCATTCTCTTTGGTGAACACTTTTGGCATGACCTTATTATAACTTCTCACTTAAACTGCTGAAATGCAGCTCCTCCCACTGTTGTATAATTCAAGAATATGATGAAAGGCTGCCCTCTTGTGGTGCACTGGGAGAAAACAAGAAATTATGCAAAGCAAGGTTGCCTGAAACTGGGAATAGCTTCATAACTGCCAAGGAAATGATGGCATCAGGCCGGAGAACCTCATTTGCCAGATGCCGACCAGCACTGGGTATTATTTCCCTCTGCAATATCCACAATGGCAGATGGCTTGGTGCTTCAGTTTGAAAATATTTTCTTTTGCCTTCATCCTCACTGCAATTGTGTGTAAATTTCTGCAAGTTCCAAATGAAATAAAATCCGTTTTCTACAAAATAGACCCACACTCACTGGGTTTCAGTGAAGCTGGTGATAGAGGCCTCCATTCAGAGAAAAGCAGAATCTCCTGGGAAAACAGGGGAAGAGGATTTGGCAATAAATTATGGCCAGAAGCCTAGAAGACAATGGCTAGAGAGTGTGTGCCCTGTAACGGGGGCTGCTTCAGACTGAATGGTCATGGAACCGCTGATTAAGATCCTCTAAGGGAATTTAAAGGACTGTGAGACCCAGGAAAGAGTGGTGTAGAAATAAAAACAGAATGCAGTAAACAAATGCCAAGGTACAGGATTTATTCTGATTTGCCTGATATATTCAGATTTATCAAATCAATGGGCTAGGCACTGGGACCACAGCAATGAACAAAATGAAGTACCTGCCCTCATGGAGTTTGCATCCTAGTGAAGAACAACAGATGAACAAATAATGTCAAGTAGTGATAAATGCTAGGAAGAAAAAGCAGCGTAGGAGGGTTAGCGATGGGATACAAGGAGTCTTGGTTTATAGAGTGATCAAGAAAGACCTCTCTGATAAGGCTGCACTGGAGCAAAGACCCGATAAAGTGAGAGTGAGACGTGTAGATATCTGAAGGGAGAGCACTCCAGGCAGGAGTGATATGACTGCCAACCTCTGAGGCAGGCGCAGGCTCAGTATATGGGAGGAAGAAAAAGGAAGTTACTAAAGCAGAGAAAGGAAGAGGGAGAGAGGTCAGACACACCGCTGGGATCAGATCACATAGAGACTTATGAACTCAGTAAGGATGTGAAGATAGGAAGTCCCTGCAGGGTTTGGAGTAGCGGTGTAACACAATCTGACACGTTCAATTCTACCTGGTATGTGAGGAATCAAGTATAAGGGGCAATGCTGGGAGCAGGGAGACTTGTTGGGAAGCTGCTGTGACATTCTAGGCAACAAATGTTTGGGGATCAGGGTGACAGCAATAGATGTGTTGAGAAGTGGTTGGATTCCAGATATATTTCAAAGGTCAGAACAACAGGATCTGATGATGGATTGGATCTAGGTTAGATAAAAAAAAAACCTTAAAGGTATTTTGGCTTAAGCAATTGGAAGAGTGGAGTTTCCATTTGCTAAGCTGAGGAAGAATCTGGAAAGAGTGTTGGGAACAGGTGTAGCGGGTAGGAAGGGTGGAATCAAATTTTACTTCAGACGTGTTATGTTTGAGATGTCTATTAAGAAAACCAAGTGAAGCTGTCACGTAGGCAGCTGGATAACAGGAACCTGGAGTTAAGGGAGCAATTATGGCTAGGGATACACACTTGGGAATCTTCAACATATGGATAATATATCATATAAAGCAATGAGACTGGATGAGATTACCTAGGAATTGAGCTATGATAGAGAACAACAGGTCTGATGATTGATATCTAGGGCTCTCCAATGGTAGGAGGTCAAGAAGGTGAGGAGGAGAAAGAGTGGCTCTCCAATGGTAGGAGGTCAAGAAGGTGAGGAGGAGAAAGAGTGGCCAGTGAAGCAGGAATGCTGAAAGCATGGTGTCCTGAAAGCCAAGTGAAGGAAGGATTTCAAGGAGGGAGTGAGCAAGTGTGTCCAATACTGCTGATATGCCAAGAAAGAGAGGCCTGAGAGCTGACCTGTGGATGTAGCCCTGTGGTGGTTTTGACGAGAACTATTTCAATAGAGTGGTGTGAGGCAAGTTTGATTGGAATGGGTTCACTAGGAGAAGAAAAAGTGGAATTAGTATGTAGGGGCATGTGGTCAAAGAAAAGTTATTTGATTTTTTAAAGAGTAAGCAATGTTTATATGCCAGTGGGGACGCCTCTTAGAAAAAGGTTCTGATGTTGGAGAAAGGAGATAAAGGCACATGTCTTTGAAAAAGCAAAAAGCTATGGGATCCAGTACACAAGAGACAGACAGAGACAGAAGAGCAGAGTAGGACCAGCACTAGTAAAAATAATACAAGGTGACACTTATTAGGCATTTATATGTGCCAGGAACTAAGTAATTTTACACCGATTTACTTAATTCTTACAACAACTCTAGGGGGAGGGTTTTTGTTTCCACTTTATAGATAAGGAAATTGAGGAATGGAGAGGATAGGCAGTAGGTGTGGGAGCCAGAACTCCACCTAGGCAGGTAAACTCGAGGCTATGCTTTGAGGGCCGGCCAAGTGGCGCATTGGTTAAGAGCTGGCTTGGGACGCCAGCTCTGAGCAGCAGAGCCCCGGTTCGGATCCCACATGAGGGCCAGTGACACTGCGTCTTCCACAGCTAAGATGGTGAAAAACAGCTCAACCTGGAGCTGGGCTGCCGAGTCGCCAGCGACGGCGTAGGCTGCAGTGGGGCTGGCCAGCAGCTGGCGTGCGCTTTCATGAGATGCCAAGAGCCACCGTGAGTGGCCGTCCAGAGGCCGGCGACCAATCTGCCTCACCCGGGAAGAGCGCAATGATAATACCAACATGGGCCAGTGAAGCGACGTCCTCCACAACTAGACTGAAGGACAAAAGGACAGCGACTTGTCTGTTCTCCTTCCCCGATTCCCCAATAAAATCTTAAAAAAAAGAGGCTATGCTTTGAAATACTGTATCACCTCAGTAGAAGCAGGGGTAGCAATCATACCTCTTCCTGAGAGCAAGACCATTAAGTGCTGCTGTGGAGAACCTGCAGCTGTTTTTTTTAGTTCTGGAGTCCCTGTTGTGTCCAGAGAAGGGATAAATGATGTTCCATTTCTTATAGGCCTGATTCTATGGCTGCCGAGAATTTGCTCCTCATAAGATGACAGGGTGGTACTCTTACCAGCTCAGAGTAAAGCAGGACAACCACTTACCTTGTTCTGGACACTGTAACTTATATAACCCAGATTGCATCAGGTTCTCTGGCAGCCACTTGTCTCATCTTCAGTCTTTTGCCTACATATGCTGGTTTTTGGACCAAAGTATTTTTTATATTTATACTTATTAAATTTCATTTGGTTATTACTCCTTTCCAATGCTGTTGAAGTCAATAGATGCCAAAAGATGACGTTTAAACATAGTTTGAACAATGCATCATTGTTGAAAATACACACACACACACACACACACACACACACACCTCCTAAAGTGACACCTCATTTAGATGTATACATTCGGATGTGTTAAAAATTCAGCCACTTTCATAGAATCAATAGACACCACTAGTAATTGATAAGAAGGTGTAAGAATACTGTCTGAAGCCGTGCTTCTAAAATTTCAGTTATTTATATATCATGTTCATGATATCCATGTATCATCTGTATTAGTATTTAGTAATTTTCTTTAATCTGACTCACATTTCCCCATAGTTGAGCAGTTGTGCACATTATATGTTTTCTAATGCATGTTAAAATATATACTATGTTTAAAACTAATGTTTACCCCAATATCACCTGAAATCATTTTACGAACTACTAGTGATATGCTGTATGTTACATTCTGGTAAACACTAATTTATATGTGTGGAGACACCTGCCAAGAGAATAAACAGAGATTGCCTCTGGAAGCGGGACTGAGGGCTGGGGAAATCTGGTTTTCATCAAAAGCGCCTCCATGATCTGCTACCGTGTGTCTTACTGTTTTACTAAGCACAAAACTAAGTACATAAAGCAAACAAAAATTCTGTCGCACTAAGTCACCTTGTACACTGCCTGGCAAAATAGTCAGCACAAAGTAATGGCTCAAAAATATTTCTGTATCTCATACCTTTTCCTAAGGATTTGGTAATTTTGGCCACATACTCTTGCTGCTCAAAACTGACATTCATGAATACGAATTCAGCCACAGAGTGAAAGGAAAAAAGACACGTTACCCACCGCAAAATGAAAACTTTCAATGTTTTATTTTTTGACTGCAGCTGTTTACAGAAATATAGTTGCGAGTATACAAATGTTCCAATAGAAGCAAAATATCTTTTTAATATTTAACAAGTTATCACAGATAGCTAAAAACATAGACGCAAATGAAATTCCCCCAGAGAACAAACTGAAATATCTGGTGTCAGTGCTCTGCAACCCCAACTATGAAAGCCATACACACAAAAATGTAACCTTATGTCACTGCAGGACAATGGAAGAAGGCAGTTCAGTGGTTGATCAGTGCGCTCAAGCAAATAAAATACAATTAAAAAAATTTAAATGGCAGAATGGTAGCTAAACCACTTGAGAACAGGTTAATGAAATATTTGTAATGTATGTATTAAAAAGACTAAGTAAAAGTTGTTAAAAAAAGTAGCAACTACTCGGAGCTTATCAGTCAGAAGTAAGGGAACAGGGCGAGCAGATACATTCAATAGATGAAAAAACATGAGCTCAGTGTCACTGGAGTCAGTTCACAGCCACTAAAGTGATAAACACTTTAGTGCAGGAGAGTTCTTTATTGGACACATTAGTCTGATTCCAAACCCACCCTCAAACATCTGAGATGGGTGTGTGTGTGTGTGCGAGCGCACGCGCGCGTGCGTGCGTGTTGTCCTGAGGTTCATTAGCTAAAATGGTAAGTGATCCCTATGAACTATTCGAACCAGGCAAATTACTTCTGGGGGGGAAAAGAAGAGCAGGGGTGATATGAGGCTTAAACATGGGGCTTTTAAAAGAGATATTACAAGTTGAAGTTGAAAAGAATTGTGGTAGGATGTTTTGGGTACAGGAATATATTAAACAATCAAGTAAGGAAGAAAGGAAAGGGAACAAGAAAAGAGGAATGTAGCTAGAGCATCTCCCAACAGTTTGCCTATATATTTGCCAGCACCAAAGTTTGCAGAGTAAGCCACTTACATTTCCACTACTAGTATTAAGCAGTGGTGATTTTTATAGAGTATACAATTATTTTTATTTTGAAATGTGCATTTTTTTCATGAGTTAATTAATTGGTGATTTGTAAACAGTGGGAGGAAGAGTAGAACAATTATGGAGGTACTGAATTACACAGGGAGATACAAATGAATACATGTACTTGGCTTGTGGTTAGTTTATATTTACCATGATGCATACATTCACAAGGGAGAAATGCCCAAATTATATAATGCATTGTCTCTCTCGTGTATCAGTTCTCACACAAAGCAAGCTACTTTAAAGAAGTTTTAGCTATTAAAAAAAATTAAATAAGGTGCTTTGTTGACATAGCCATTTTGTTTAATATCTCAGATACAAATATAAATATAGGAATGACAATTTTGTTCTGAGAGTTGGTCTAGCCAGACCAAAATTGTGGTCTGCTGGTAAAGAAGCAATGAAACGAAAAGTATGTATTCTCACTGTCCACAATGTACCCATTTTATAAGCAATCAGGAGAATTTAGCACCTGTCAATTATATTAGCTACTTAAATGTCATAACAAAAGAAATATAGAACATTGCACCTATATCTTTAAGTCAGTCACTTAATGTAAACTTTTAAGTAAGTGGTAGGAAAATGCCAAATTAAGTAAACTGAATTATCAGTAACTAGACTAATTGTATATGTATATAAAATATACTATATTTCTATAGGCAGTACTGAGAATAAATTATCATTGCCAATAAAGGATTATGGATAACCAGGTTAAGCTGAATTTACATGAAGACCAATGTATAACTATCTGTAAGAGGGGGAAAAACACCTTTCTAGATCTTACTGTAAATAGTTTACACCAGTGGTTCTCAAACGTTAAGCGAGCACCAGATCACCTGGGGGGCTTGTTACGACACAGAAGGCTAGGCCCCACTCCAGTTTCTGATTCGGTATGTCTGGGATAGGGCCCAGGCTTCTGCATTTCTAACTAGTTCCAGGTGATGCTGATGCTGGCTGGTGGGCAGATGACCATACTTTGAGAACCACTGGTTTATACATACTATATATGTCGAAGGCTGTACATTATAATGTTCCTATGTACACGACACAAAATATACAGGAAGAGGGCTGGTTTTAACTGTCAAACACAGATTAGCAAGCTGAACATTTTAATGTTTCTAAAATGATTTTCTGAAGTGTAATTATTTCCCTTTATAGTCAATTACATTGCAGTCTTAAGTCCTACTCTACAGTCATTTTAGCAAACAGTCACGTAACACTTATACCAAGTTGCTATCTAAATAAGGGACATAAATATTCTAAATAGTTCAATGCGTTCATTAAGGGATCACCGCCATACAGCATTCTTGACTTCTTTGGAATGATTCAAGTGCATACTATCAATAGGTACTAAGAATATGGCGTAATGTTTGCAGCCTTCAGTGCACTAACAGCCACGAAAACACCCACAGGAAAGCAGTTCTAGCCCAACACTCCTATCCTGAGCTGCTGGCCCTTTCTTCAGGCGCCACCACCGCCATTGTGTAAGAGGCTGGAACACAGGCAAAATGAACAAAACCCAGATGGACACTCAATTCAACTGTATCTGGTTGAAAGGAATTATCTTAGATTCGGAGGGACTCAGATATAACGTCTTCATTTCTTTTGACACTATTTTCCATCGGTAGATTCTGATGGGTAAGAAGTGTACTGTAATTAATTACTTGGTCCTATCTAGTTGGAAAATTTGACATTACCAGCCTTTAGTTAAACTATGAGTTTCTGATTTATTTTCATTCATCTAATTAAGGTCATAAGAGATGCTTTATTTAAACTCTTCCTTCCTGAAACTTAACTACACACATTTATGTGCATGGAGTCTCACATGAAAATTTTCATTAGCATTCAAGGAAGACCTATCATTAGTTGCTGAGGTGAAGACAAATTTTGTTAATTTATATAAAAGCTAAATAGTATAATTCCATAATCTTTTACTTACCCTCTCACAAAGGAACAATTCTAGTAATGTATCTGTTCTGTTAGTCTTATGCCAAAGGGAGGTGGAAACTTAGAAAGTTATTTCCTATGGTGATCAAGAAATGGAGCTATAAAAACCTTCCATTTTGTACAACCCCTCAGAATGCCCCTCTAGTTGCTGCCTGATTCATGAATCATTTAATAAAGCCAATTACATCATAAAAAGAAAAGAAAAAATGGAAAAAAGAACGACTAAATGGAAAAGTTGAAAGTTGAGACCTATTAAAATCGTTTATGTGTTTTTGGCAATAGTGAAAAATGAAATTACAAAATGGGGCACTATCATGTTAAAAAGGCACTTTTCTATAAAGCATTTGATCTAGGTATAAAATATTAATTTAAAATTTTTCCTGAAAGTAGAGTAAAAATAGTTTTATTAATAAATAAAGCTAGAATGGCATGAAAATAAATGGGGATTAAAGAAGTAATTAGAGCCCTGGGGCAATTGACAGATGACACTGTAGGTATTACTTTGATATTTACTACATTATGAACATTATCTCCACAATTCAGCTCTAGTGACACAAATAAGCAGAGAACAAACCTCTTTTTATATGTTATGAAGTTTTACTAAACCCCTTTGTAGGGTATATGCTCGGAGTTATTTTTCTAATAAAGCTGCTGAACTATGCAGTGTGTCTCTTTCATTTAGTCCCTCCATATAACCAAAGGCTTGCAGATACAACACGGCTGTCTTGGTTAGGAATGGAGCCTGTGGTCATGAAGCAGAGTAAAGCTGACAGGTCTCACGTAATTTTCAATTCATTAAAAAAATCAACTAGGAAACAGATATTAGAACAGAAATTTTCACCAGAAAGATGAAAAATTCTCAAATTACTCCTAGTGAATATTTATAAACCATGATGAATTTGAGACTCTGATTATTAAAGCATTTAATTCTGTTCTTTAATTACTGATGCATCTAAACAGATTTCACTTTTCCAAAACAAGTGTCTATAATGGCTTAAATAGTCAAAAGGAATTATTACCTTAGTTCTAGAGGGACTCAGATATAACTTCTTTCTCATTTCCTTGGACACTATTTTTCCTAGGCAGATTAAATGAGTTTCTGATAGGCAAGAAAAGTACTATAATGAAATTTCCAGCTATAGCATATACATTACCAAAAAAAAAAAACAAAAAAAAAAAAACGAAAGGAAGAGAGGAAAGAAAGAAGGAAGGTCCCTCATTAACACTGCTTCAATAACAAAGCCCTTTAAAAACCTTTTCTATGGAGACTGGTGAAAAGAGATTTGCATTGGCTACATAACAGGATACTCTAATTACAAAGGTAACATGACAAAGCTCAGAAGCAAAATATGACTTCTAAGTATCTTCTCCCATGTTGGTGTGGATATATAATGGAATGACAATAAGGAAACACACACACACACACACACACACACACACACACACTCACACACAGACAGAGATAAGCTCCAAGCACTGTGAGTTGCTAAAAGAACAACTGAATTGAATGTAACAATATAAAGGAATAAAATGTGTGGTTCATAATTTATTTAGGTTCTTCTGCCATAAATAAATTTAATAAATTGTTTCCGAGGCCTTTGCTGGCTCAAGGAGTCTCTCCTATATGTAGCTATTAACTTGTAACAGTAATCTGGAAACTGCATGATCAGCACAAGCATCAACCACTGACCACTAAGCTAACTCCTCAATAAGAAGACAAATACTTTTTGTAACCAAATTGTATATTCAGAATGCTGTACTTAACATTGACCTTTAGGGGTAAGAAACATGTAACAATGTTAAAAAGAAAACCAAATCATTACTGAGTAAGAATATGGTAGCTTACATAGCACAGCCCTTGGGTAAATAACCACAAAATTTATGAAAATGAAAATTAAGTTTTCTGCCTCCATCCAATCAAACCATTACAGTTCAGGTGTATGTTCTGTTCTAAACTTAGGTATTATAAAACAGAAAATTGGTCCCTGGTGACTTGGCATTAGCAATCAGCATTTTACAACGATAAACTTCTTGCTAAACAACAGAACAGAAGTCAGCACACAGCCAGTCTTCTTGCCACCAATTCGTCCATAGAGCAGTGTTAACATTCTAATTAGAACTTGGTGAATAAGACTTCCCGAGTCTTCCGTATAATCTCTTACAAAAAAATTCAGAAAACTCAGAAATAAACTTACAGTATTTTATATCTACTTATTTTTATGCTTGCTGGGTAAGCTTTCTGACATTTGTCAACACTCTGCATTTTACACTTTCAAACTGAAGCACTGGATTGTGTGGCTGGTCTTTCTCACAACCTGAACTATATTGGGTAATTATTCCCATTAGGGGTGGGGAGAGAAGGGATATATTGAAGAAAATGCTTTCAGTTCAGAGAATTTATAAAGTAGCTCTGGATATTACAAGATGGGGAAAATGTTATTAAAATTACAAACATGGTTTTTCTTTAGTGTCTTTATAAATAAAAGGCATAGAATACAGAAAGCCAATTAATAATAATAATAACAACAATAATAAAATATTAAATACATAGTGAGCAAAGACTGAATGGCTCATTCTTGTGAAACACCATTTGACACAATTGCCTAGATGGGTTTCCTTACTCTAACATTTTGCTGAGTGAAAGATCCAGCAAACACACAGTAAGCTGCCTTTAGCCCACTAATAACATCAAGGAACTGCCTGATGGAATGGCCACAGATGAACAGGTCATTTGTTTCAAAAGATACTTAAATACTCAATAAAGACATAACAAACCCCCCCCCCCTCACTGTTATCAGACGCCACGTTGTGGTAGAACATCAGACAAACTCACAAATTTACCACAAAAATGTGTGGCAAAAAAAGAATAGTTTATATATATGTATATATATAAATTTCTATATTTATGCCAATGTACTCACTCAGTACAAATAGCAAAATAGTATACCATTTCCTAAATACAAAATATAGCTTTCCAAAAAAATGAAACACACATTAGATATAAACCATCCAAAACTTGAACGATTGAAAACTGTATTCAAAATTAAATGACCCATAGTAGGTCTCTTTCTGAAAAGTTCCCTTCATATCGGCAAGAAGCCTGTACTACTGAAAACGTAATTCAATGCCTCTCAATCAGAGAGAGAAAGAAAGAAAGGTTGGGATGGAGGGAAGACTATATGAGAACAAAGAGCAAAAACAAGTTAGAAGGAAAAGCACAAAGAACCAAGGGAGATCATCACAAAAAGGGGGGGAAATCTGGCTGTATAAACAAAATCAACACCACAATGCCACTAAGTTCAATTAAATGTATAGGATAGAAAGAATAAAAATAAAAAACAGAAAAGTAGCCTTTAACAAACCATTAACAGGCTATTTTTTGTACATTTAAAAAATAAATGAAACGGACAAGAATACCAAAACATCTTATCTACATATAGAAGCCACACATAATTTGGCCTTAAACTGTATTAACAGCTTTCTACATGCCAAAAGGAAAATAAGACATAAGCACGTGTCCTGACAACAGGTTGTAGTGAGAAGCAGGCATCCCATGGGTGCTGAGAACACCCAAAACTGTGTAACTAATGCTACAACTGCAAGTTCTGGAGTGTGATATTTTGCTCCCTATAGATGTAACACAAGTTAATTCTTCATTTTAAGCCAATGACATGACCCTGTAAAGCCTAAGGCTTGTGGGAACCATCAGATAAGCGACCACTTCAAACTGTAAAGCACTGAGGTGACAAGTGAATTATACTCACTGCAGCTCAGGGAGAAGTGATGTTTCAAGAAATTTTACTGTGCCTTTTTTTTTAAATTAAAATGTACAGTTTCCTATTAGAGGGAAAATTTTGAAGACTTCAGAACAGCACCGTTCATGGGGGGGGAGAAATGCATTGTTTCTTGTTTCTCAGGTTTCAGCTCCCTCGTTTCCAAAAGGGTACCTGCCCCCCCAGCCTGTGCCGCAGGAGTTGCTGGGTTACCCCAGGTCAAAGTGGCCTTTTCTTTTAAGTTGCTACAGGGTCACGAAGCTAGGAGTATATTATCAATTGTCTAAAGTAAAGTGAAAAAAGAGGGGAAAAAATGTAGGTGAATATAAAAAGGGAACACTGACCCAAGACTGAGTTAAGAAGAAAACAGATTCAAATTACTGTGTTGGTTTAAACTACTATAGGAGGATATCAGAACATAATTTACCATATATTATCCCCTTCATTTTTTATAAAGCAAGATAATTATTTTTCTATGCAGTTATGGCTAAACCCCTTAACAGAAACACAGAGAATTAATAACTCTCTGACAAATAAAATCAATAGCATTCCAGCTGTTCCCAGTTTGTGTGTTGTCTGCCTTTGAGATAAATAAAGAAGCTTCTTATCTGTGTAGAGCTCTTAATACAGTTTACTTGTCAGAACACAACCCCTTCGGTTTTTCCATAAAAACAAAAGATTCCTTCGCTTTGGCCAGTAGCTGTGCTTTTCACATTGAAAAATCACAGCCTTAGTTATTATTTTCCTTTTTCAAAAGCTGTTACTTGACTAAAACAACACGGGAAAGAAAATAATCAACAAAAGTAAACATGACAATATGAATTATTTTCTAATAGCAATAATAACTGAGCAGTCCAGCTTTTAAATTTAACTGTACTTTTAAAGAAATGGAGCCTAGGAAAATAGCAACAATTAATCCTGTCAGCTGGAAACTCAAATAGAGTCTCAGTCGTCACTGTTATTAGGAGTATAAACTATGAAGATGTTAACAATGGTGGCTAATCTGCAACAGGCAGCATAGGTGTGCTCTTTTGCAGTCAGAGTAAAATCTATCCATTTACTCAATCACAGTTTTTCATAGTTTGTTTTGTTTTTTAAGTAACAGTTCAATAATCCTCATGGAATCACAAGATCTCAGGACATCTTGGAATCAGGATTGTCTTCATGGAATTTCTAAAAAAAGAAAACATTTAATTTAACTCACTAAAGAGGAAAGCACTTATAAAGTTCCTATTATCCTGAATGATCCCAAAGTATATTATAGTACTATAAATGATACTTTGTCGTATTTATACTTCCACAGCATTTTGTGACTTAATATTCATTTCTTGAGTAAGGGAGAAAGGAAACAATTATATCCAAAATATAATACATATATCAGATTTTCTGTCATCCCAACCCAAAGAAATTTAGAAGCCAGAAGGAATGCCCAGTATTAACATTACAACCACAAGCTATCACTCAGAGTTAATTTATTCAGACTAAAAAAGTACCATCTTGTGAAAGCCACATTTAAAAAAATTATAGAGTCTAAATGTATTATTACTTAACCCAAATCTTCTAAGAATATCAAAATTTATTGATGCTTTTTAATAAGAAAGAAGCCAAAATGCAATACTTACATATCCAGTTAAAAGGAGCCAGTCAGGTTGTTCCCTTGGTTTTGCAATGAAACAAGCAAATCAATCTTTTCAATGTTCTGGTTGGTGTTTAGAGACGATGCCAGTGGAGAATTCTCTGGCATTTGCTGAGAAAGAAGTGTTGTCACAGGTGACTGGCCCTCGTTTTGTGGTTGGCCTTGCTGACTTATGGCCATCAACTGATCTGGTAATGCAGCTGGTCCAGAAGTTAAAAGCTGATTACAGTCTGCAGAGACATTTAAAATAGAGAAGCTACCTGATTAGTTCCTTTCTGTTAAGATTTGAAGATATTTATTAGTTGCTGGGGGAAAGTCATTATTGTGTTCACTCGGTATAGAACTAAAAGTGAGGTGCCTGATAGGCCCTCCCCAATCCCCCCCCCCCCAAAAAAGGTTTTCACTGAACAGTACTGATATTTATCTTTGGTTTTCTCTAAGCTGTATAAAAATACAACTTGGCCTAGTTATCATTATAAGTCCTATATAATTTCCTTGGTATATAAACATTAAAGATGGGTTTCTACCTCCTTTCTACTTAACTGGCTAAGATATTTTCTGTCATTCTTACTTCATGTTCCTTTCAAGTTTATAGCTTAAAGTGGCAAACACATACATTTATATACGCTACCACATTTAATCCTCCCAATATCCTCGTCAAACATGTAGTATTACCACCATTTTAGATGTGGCGATTGAGGCTCATGACGGTCAAAAAACGTGTCTAAGATCTCTCAGGCTGTAAGTGGTATAGCTGGGACTCGAACTCAATTCTACTTACAATCCGTGTTCTTAAAACCCACTGTGTTTTGCTTCCTTCTAATAATAATAATAATCTGACCATTGCAACCAATAACATTGAAGAAATGAGAAATCAGAAAGAGTTTCTTACTATTCTGAATGCCAAATAAGAACATTCCTGAAGTCTGCTGAGATGAGCCAGGAGAGTTCTGCAGTTGGCTCATGGTGCCTCCGGTAGTGTTGTGAAATAAAGTGGCCTGTGACTGAGGTGAAGATGTGGCTCCTTGGATTCCAGGCATGTTGTTCTGAGGAGAGTAAAGAGGAGACTGCTGCATGTCTTGTTGGTTTATACTGGTCTGCAATGCCGACATGGAGGCTGGAGAGAGGAAGAGAGTTACTTGCTGCTCCTGAGAACTGGGTGACCCTTGGACCAGCTGGATCTGAGGGGAGCCATGATACAAGGAGGTCTGTGGGGATTCGGACTGGGTAGGACCTGGGTTCTGAAGTGAAGACACTGTGGGCTGGTTCTGAAATTGCATGGCCTGCTGCTCTTGATTCATGGAGGCCATGCTGTTTTGTTGGTGAAAGATTGACTGGTTCTGTTGCTCCTGATTTGCCATTGGATTTGGACTTGGGTTGAACATCATGTTTGGTGGTGGTTGCTTCTGAGACCCCATTGTAGCCATGGTGTTCTGATTACTGAATAAAATGCTCTGCTGCTGCTGCTGCTGTTGTTGTTGTTGTTGTTGTTGCTGCTGCTGTTGCTGCTCCTGGGATGGAGAGCTACTCTGGATGGCAACCATTGAATGCTGTGACTGGAAGATTGCTCCTTGTTGGTTCTGAGGCATCTGATTAGGAAGGGAGCCCATGGACACCTGAGGCTGAAAGAGACCTTGCTGGGAGGGTTGGGCCTGTTCTTGGGAAAGCATAGGGGTCTGGATGTGTGATATTGGAGGCTGCTGTTGGAAAGCAGCTTGCTGCTCAGTGTTTGATGTTGACTGAAGTGGAGAAATTGAGTTCTGAGCTGCAAAAAATGACATCTGTTCTTCTTGGGCCACTGTGTTCGTCTGAAGATTATTCATCGGACTCTGGGAAAGGAACATGTTGGCTGACTGCTGGTCTTGAGGGACAGAAGAGCCCTGCAGCACAGCCATGGTACTCTGAGAGTGAAACATTGGAGGCTGCAATTGTTCAGTGGAGGCTGTAGAAGCCTGGCTGTGGACAATAGGACTTGGACTATGAAAAATAGAACCTTGAGTTTCCTGGGAAAGGTTCTGAGCATCAGCAATAGGATTTTGAGGATGAAAAAGTTGAGCCTGTGAATGAGAGGACTGCTGCAAAAAATTCCCAGATTGGAGTGACATCATCTCATTACCTTGCTGGAATAAACCATTACCTTGTTGCTGGTTACCGCTACTTTGAACACTCATCATACTTTTTGTTGATGAAAAAAGGTTAACTTGAGGTTGACTGTCTCCACTATGTTGCATTTGGACCATGGTCTGAAAGACACTGTTCTGAATCTGTTTTGCTTGTGCTCCGCTTTCTTCTCCATCTCCTGAACTCGATGTCTGAAACATGGTAGTGCCAGGGGTGGCAACCTGCTGGGTGGTGGTTGTAGTAGTTTCATTCCCAGAAACTGGAGGAGGAGAAGAAAATAATTCACACTGCATTTGCATGTCCTCGCTGGTAGATAACGCACTCATCATATGAGGGGGCTGCTGGTAAACCGGAGACTGCTGAAGGTTTCCATTTGCTGAAGCAGTGGAAGGAAATAACTCGGACTGAATCTGGGCAGCTGCCTGGCACATGCTCTGTTGCATCTCCATCACCATTGCAGCTGGTGATTCCATTACTTGCTGTTGCTGCTGTTGCTGCTGTTGATTAGACAATGTGTTTTCGGTCTGTGGGTGAACACTTTCGGCTCTTCCAGCTATTAAATTATCCGGTCTGGTATGGACTGCTGGCTCTGCTGAGGAAAACATTCCAGGGTTTACACTATTTTGAATTTGACTGACTTGTTGAAAAATGTCTGCGCTAAGCTGCTCTTGAACATTCTCATTACCATCTGGAGTAGAAAATAAAACTGAAGATAACTGTTGCTGTGCCTCTAAAACTTGTTGGACCAAGTCAACATTTCCACTGCTGCCACTAGCAGAACTGCCCGTAAAATTTCCTGCTTGCAACTGCTGAATCGTATTCTGTAGCTGACTCACACTGTTTGGTGATGGGAAAATATTTGATGACATCTGCTGCTGTAAAGTCTGTGCTTGTTCTTGAAGTGGGGACTGCTGCTGTTGCTGTGACGCCTCAGTCAGGTGTGACAAGTTAACCACTGTACCATCTGACTGTAATACCTCTCTAGATGGAGTTTCTCTTGTCTGAAACTGTGTAGCCTGCTGCAGTAGTGCATCACTGTTGGGCAGCTGACTAGAGGCAGAAACTGCTGGAAAGGTGCCAGGCTGTGAGATGTCCTGTGTCTGGATAGTTGTCAGGCTCTCTGGGTTGTACGCCTTGGGCTGAATCTGCTGCTGCTTTTCATTTTCAGAAGATAAGTGGGAAGATGATGATGCTGGAAAGGGCCCATTTCCTGCTATGTTAGAGATATTTTCTAACGTTTGTTGAGTTGATCCAACTGTCTTTGTAGTCTAAAAAATAAAAAAATCACAAATAATATGTATATATAAATATTATGAGCTCATATGCTTCAACAATTATTACTCTAAAAACATATGCACATGCAGGGCCAATTTTCCACTCTTTATTATTATTTGGAAAACAGGTATAAGATTATGGTTCTCAATGATAGCATGTCTGATTGTCAACAGGGTATTTTAAAAATATTATAAGCAAAGATATCAAACAAGGAAGTAAAAGAATAATCAGCTATTGATATGCTTAGGACAGTAAACACATTAATTCTATGGCTCATGAATTAATAGCAAGTTAAAAATTTTTTTCATTTTATGGATTACTGGTAATATTATAAGGGGGAAAACAAGTGAAAAGAGGAAAGCAAGTTATAGGAAAAGAGTTGAGCAAAAAAGGAAATAAAAATGTCTCTAATTTTGAAAATGCCAAACCAACACTTTTATTAATACCATACATTCCACAAGGTCTAGCTAACATAGTAATTCCTCCCTTGTCAAAAACGTGTATTGAAAGTCACTTTTCAGGCTATTTTATTAGCGTATAAAAGCATTTGCTCTGAAAAGCATCATTTATTAATGCATCCACAGAGAAACAAATGTGAAATAGGAAAAGTAAAAAGCATAAACATAGGGGAAAGAAATCAAACCACTCAAAATACAGGAATTTTATATTTAGGTGAAGATGTGGGGCACTAGTCAACGTAGCTTACCTTAAAAATAGGGGAAGATCTTTTTTCTGCTGTTACTTCCATTGGAGTAACATCTTCACTTTTTATCATGCTGCTTGATATGAGTGGAGTGATCAGAGCATTAGGAAGAATATTTACCTTATCTAAGTTACATCCAGTAGTTTTCATTGCTGTACACACACAAAAGAAAAACCAGAAAGTTTAAAATCATCAACTATTTCATTTAATAGTGTTGACAATATGTCATGATTTATTTATTAATTTTTAATTTTTATTTTATTGGGAAATCGGAGAAGGGGAACAGACAAGTTGCTGTCCTTTTGTTCTTCAGTCTAGTTGTGGAGGACGTTGCTTCACTGGCTCATGTTGGTATTATCATTGCGCTCTTTCCGGGTGAGGCAGATCGGTTGCCGGCCTTTGGACTGCCACTAACAGCAGCTCTTGGCAGCTCACACCGGCTGCTCATGCTGGCTGCTGGCCACTCACAGCAGCTTATGGCAGCCCACTGCAGCAGGGGCTGCAGCCTACGCCGTCGCCAACAACTCACAGCAGTCCAGCTCCAGGTCGAGCTGTTGTTCACCATTTTAGCTGTAGAAGGCAGTGTCACTGGCCCTCATGTGGGATCCGAATTGGGGCCCGGCTGCTCAGAGCTGGTGTCCCAAGCTAGCTCTTAACCAACGTGCCACTCGGCCGGTCCAATACGTCATGATTTAAATGTCCATTTTTTGATGCTATGATGGTAGCATGAGATACAAAACTGGTGTATCAAAATATGCCCTCCCGTTTTTGAAATAGCATTGGCTTGAGGACTCATGGTATGACCCTCAGACCGTGAGTTAAATAAATATCAATAAGCTTAAGCAGTTCTATTATCCTCCAGGACCCTTCTAAGGTGCCTTGAATTACACTTCTCAACACAAACAGGATACATTATAGGCTACAACTCAGAAATCTCCAGGTTCAAGCTACTTAGTTACAACTGTTAAACTCTCCTTTTGGCATATGGATGCGTGGCAGTATCAAGTCAAAACTTTAATTTGAAGGCCATAGGATTATCTGAACATTTCTCTCAACAAACTCAAGCTTCTCATTAGAAAATGCAACCAAGTAACCAAATAAATTTTACTTTCCTAAATTAGTGTCTTAGAAAACTTAGAATTTGCCCAATTACTCATGAACATATTTCTCTTCTAGACAGGACTTAAAATTTTTTTCTTTTCAAAACAAAACTTTAAGGACTAATTTAGTTTAAATTTCCAAATCAAAACCAACAAGTATTTTCCACTTCCTTCTACTCCCATTTTCAGTGGTTAGAGGTTTACACCAAGGAGAAGCACTATATAACAAACAGATAAGGTATATTCTATCACCTCTTTATATCTACTTTTCTCACTCGGTTCTTTTTCTTTCTTTTTTCTCTATGTGAGTCTGCCACTGGCAGTTAGTGGAGCCTATTGATACCACTAATGACAGTCTACTGAATTGAACACATACCCAAATTATGATCTAAAAGTTTACCACTGCTTTGAGACCCTATGGAGAGAAATACAGGTCCCCCAGAAGGCACAGCTGTTAAATTTCTTAATTTGATATTGAGAAAAAATCTTGGCTACAAAGAGGAATTTTAAATGGCATAAGGTATATGAGTAGGATTGCTACCTTTGTAAATATTTTGATTTAAAAATATTTGAAACTTTCTGGTCTTACTTCAACTTGTCTCACAGCCAGCTGGCCAGAAACATTTCCTGTGGAAACTGATTATAATGAGGGAGGGGAAAGTGCTCATTTAACTTTGGATATTCTATGCTTTATTACTCCGAGAAATAGGTAATTTATTCATGAGTTCTCTGGACCTACTTTTACCTAGATTTTACCAATACCAATACAATTCAACCCACAATATAATTTTTACTGAGAGAAAACCAGGTCATGCACAGGGCAAGCATTTAAAAATATTTGAGGCCCATCTCACAGGACAATTTGAAAGGCCATTAGTGTTGTCCTATGTTGATACTGTAATGTTCAACTGCTAGTCTTGCTTTTGAATTCTATTAGAATGTGAGCTCCATGAAGGCAGATTTTGTTGTTGCCTGATGCACAGTAAGTAATCAATGAATTTCTGTTGAATTAATGAATTAATCTTACTTTACCTTTATTGTAGTCAATTTAGTTTGCTGTGGATTAATCTTACAGTGCAGTATTGCATATTTTCATTAATAATATTTCTGGTCTAAAATTTTTCAATATCTAAATACAAGTTTATATTACAGTTCAATTAGAAACTGCATATAAATATTCATTGACAAATAAAGGCATCACCTATAGTCATTGCTTAATAGATCTATATAGATCTATATATAATTTTCCCCAAAATTTACTTAGAGAAAAATTCTTATTATCATACTTTTTTTCCCTTCTGGAAAATGAGAATGTGTAGAATAAGCTGAGCAAGAGTCTTTTATTCCTCCTAAGGAGACCACTGACAAATAGGTATGTCTACTGGTGCAGACAAACAAGAATAGGGCATTTTGTCTAATGCCCTTGGCAAAGATACAAGTCTCTCTATGGCCATTGACAATTTAGTTTTCTGAGCCCTATTCTGGTTTGCTTGCTATTTTAGATCTGCATGAACTCCAGCTGGAAACCTGCTGGTGCTGCCTACAGGAGTGGAAGGTGCTTCCCTGGGCTGCTTGGTGGTATGAAGTGGGTTGAGGGATGCTGGACTCGCAGGAGGAAAAACATTTCTCCTGGTATGTTCTCTGGTCTACTGGTACTAACGGTCAGGTGGAGGGCCTGTGTGCTGCTGCCCTGGTGTGGGATGGAGGAGGATGAGTTGGCCCCCTGGTTTCTGCTGTTGCCATTCCTGCAGACAGACTGATCAGCTGCTGCTGGCATATATGAGTCCCTCCTCAGTTTCACTGTTGGCAGATTGGGCCCACTGCTACTTGGCAGGTGTGGGTGGGGGATGGGTTGCCCCCCAAAATCTGCCAGCGAGTCAACTGCTATGATTTAGTATGAGTCATCCCACTAAATCTCTACAGGGCTTTCCCTTTCCTGGCCTTCTTGCCAAAGACAGCAGGCTTTTCATATTTATTGATTGATTGATTTTTTGCCTATGCCTGTCACCAGTTCTGAGTTGCAGACCCCTCTGGTGCCCAGGTCAGCTAAATGGGAGATAAAAACAAAACCCAAGAAACTCACTTTGTGCCATTCCCTAGCCAGTCCACTTTCTTCTCTCTATAATTCAAAATACTTTTATGATTGTTGAATTATTTCCAAAGTAGATTTAGAAGGGAAGAACAGGGAAAAGCGAGTCTACACTATCTTGTCCCAGAACCCACAACTGTATCTTAATGGACCTGTAAACAGTATTAAATGGCTTGAGAGATGTCCCCCTATTTTTTCTTGCTACATTTTCACTATGTAGTTACTGAGCTCTTACCAAGTTCCAGACACTGTCCTATGTTCTTTGGATTCAGTGATGAATAAGATAGAGAAAGCCCTATTATCTGGAAATTACATTTTAGTGAAGGACAAAAAAACACATAAATAAGTAAAATACAAACAACCTAGGGTTTGGGGGAGAACTTTTAAACCAATTCAGAAAATCCAGACTGTAAATAAGACACACACTAATAACTATCCCAATATCACCTTGAATTTGTGAAGAATATTGGTATTGATACTTTATGCCAAACAACTTTTAAACAGTATTCTCTTTCATCCATGTCATATAACAACTTTTGAAACTTAGAACAATCTTTACTAAAAGTCTGTTGTTAGCAAGCAACATTTGGGTCAAGTATAAATAAGTATGGTTAACATATGAATTAAGATTTATAAGGAAGGAGATAATAGAGTGACAAAATACAGCGTTTTGATGGAAACATAAGTTGCAACCTCTGTCAGTTACTAGCTGTGTAACCTTGACCAAATCAATTTCTCTAAGCCTTGGTTTATTCACCTATAAAATGAGACTGAATTAATAATAGGTTATCTCTATGGTTCCTCCAAGCTCTTAAACCTTTCCATAGTTGCAATCAGTTAGAGAAAAGTAATACACTCTCAATAATTTTTCACACTCATCCAATTAACCACTCCTTACAAAGTTGAAACAGAGAATGCACATCAATATTTTATCCCTTGGTCCTAAACCTGTATCACAGTCTTTGAGCGATCTATCTGGAGTTTATACTCATATCTACCTAGAAAACCTTCTGGGAATATGCCCAAGAAAATGTTAACAACAGTTTATGCTGTATACTTTATCTTATTATTTAATTTGTATTACTTTTGAATTAAGGGTATACACACACACACGGGTAAAACTGAAAATGAATCATGATGCTTTGGCAGTAGACTTAATATCTCACTGAGTAGTTGTGCAGTTATTCTCCTTACTCCCCACCCCCTAAACCCTCTCGGAGGAATTAGAAACTTATTTCAGAGAGAAAGATTTCAATATCTGACAATATTATATTTGGGTATCATATTCTAAATATTATTATACTTGATGGCTATTTATAAGAATGTTATTTGGAGGATAACACAAATTTAAAAGTCATTTATGTTGCTGTCTTCATCATTAAAGTATACCTAATTAAATCTCCCAGATGGTACCTTGGCATACTAAAGCTCTGATTTCAAGGAATCATAAAAATAAGTCATTTGTCAAGAAAAATCCCTGATTCTGAAAGCTATTTTTTTAAAAATTGATAAGAAATCTCCAATTCATGATATTGTGTTTATAAAGGCAAATGAAAAATTTAAATGAATAAAATAGTTGAGTATTCAATTTAATAGCTTCCTAAAATTATTTTTATCATGATTTCAGTTGATAAAATTGTCAAAATAAGGTCAGAGTTTTGAAAAAATAATGTGTGTTTGTTTCTTATCCATATTTTAGGCTTGTAAGATTTTGATCAAATGACTAAATAATTTTTTATTAAAAATTAAAGATAGGGGCTGGGCGAGTGGCATGTTAGTTAAGAGTTGGCTTGGGACGCCAGCTCTGAGCAGCAGGGCCCCGGTTCGGATCCCACATGAGGGCCAATGAAGCTGTGCCCTCTACAGCTAAGATGGTGAACAACAGCTTGACCTGGAGCTAGGCTGCCGTGAGTCACTGGTGACAGAGTAGGCTACAGCCGCTGCTGCAGTAGGCTGCAGTAAGCTACCTTGAGCGGCCGTCTAGAGGCCGGTGACCGATCTGCCTCACCTGGGAAGAGCACAATGATCACAATACCAACATGGGCCAGTGAAGCAACGTCCTCCACAACTAGACTGAAGAACAAAAGGACAGCAACTTGTCTGTTCCCCTTCCCCGACTCCCCAACACTATTCCCCTCCCCCAATTCCCCAACAGAATCTTAAAAAAAAAAAATTTAAACATAGTATTTAAAACCTTTCAACCTTCAATTAATAATCTTGTATGAAAAATTTCACATTGGATTAGTGTTCCACCAGCTTCATACTCTATGAAAGGAACATCAGGAATTTTTGTAGAAAAGCACTGATACTTCAAAGCTGGCAAAGAACAGACCACAAATGTTCATGAGCTTCTTTAATGATTAATTAATTATAGTATTATTTATCCAGTAAACATGGTTTGAATTATTTTTCCTTAGGTGTGTTACTTTATACACTGAAGCTTAGCCTATTCTGTTTTAAATCCTAGCTAAGTGACCTTGGGCAAATTATTTAACCCCTTTGGAATCTTGGTTTTCTCATCTATGAAATAATAAATTATCACCTCATAGAGTTTGGAAGATTAAATGAGAGAATGCCAGTAGAGTGTGGCATATTGGGGCGGCCAGTTAGCTCAGGTGGTTAGAGCACAGGCTGATACCACCAAGGTTGCAGATTTGATTCCCACATGGGCTGTGCCCTCCACAACTAGATTGAAGTCAACTACTTGACTTGGAACTGATGGGTCCTGGAAAAACACTGTTCCCCAATAAAATTTCAAAAAACAAAACGAGAAAAAAAGTGTGGCAAATTGACTAGCACTGAATATATTATCAACATACTTCAGCTATAGTTATCCATAGTCCAGATTTGTAAATTTTCTTGTAATTGAATCAGATAATCTTGGCAGTTTATTTACTAGTGCATAATTTCTCACTAATCTACTCTGAGAAGTGTTCATGGTCAGAAATGATTATGGCACATTATACTGAACACATTATATATGCGAATGCTAAATTTTACTGACAATAGGAAAAAAATTCACTGTGTTTGATAAAATTTATTAAGCAAATTATGCTCTTTAAAACAATAAGTATTTTTTAGGGCCAGCTGAGTGGCTCAGTTGGTTAAGAGCTTGCTCAAGAGTGCGAGCGCTGAGCAACAGCGGTTTGACTCCTGGCCTGAGCTGAGCTGCCAACAGGTGGCAGGATGGCTCAGTTTAAAAACAAAAAGAAGTATTTTTAATTTTTAAATTTAATTTGATTTAACTCACATGAATTTCATGGCAGAAAATGTAAGTAAAACCTCAAATCATAGGAACAAATCAATGGCCATTACATAATTGATATTTTCTTTTTTTTTTTTTTTTTTTTTAATTTTTTTTGGGGAATTGGGGGGATGGGAACAGTGCTGGGGAATTGGGGAAAGGGGAACAGACAAGTTGCTGTCGGTTTTTTTTTGTTCTTCAATCTAGTTGTGGAGGATGTTGCTTCACTGGCCCAAGTTGGCACCATCACTGCGCTCTTCTCTGGCGAGGCAGATCAGTCGCCGGCTTCTGGACGGCCGCTCACGCTGGCTGCTGGCCGCTCACGCTGGCTGCTGGCCACACACGGTAGCCTATGGCAATCCACTGCCACAGGGACTGCAGCCTACGCCGTCGCCGGCGACTCATGGCAGCCCAGCTCCAGGTTGAGCTGTTGTTCAGCATCTTAGCTGTGGAGGGCAGTGTCACTGGCCCTCATATGTGGGATCCGAACCGGGGCCCTCTGGCATCCCAAGCGAGTTCTTAACCATCGCGCCACTCGGCCGGCCCGATATTTTCATATATAATGGCATAAAAACATCAAGTATCATAATTGTATTAGAAATCTGCTCAGAAAAGAATCCACTCCACCACATTATAACATCCTGAAGATATCTTCATTATCTCTTGGGATTGGCAGGGGAGTAAACAAAGATGTCAGAAGAAAGAACGATAACAAAAGAACCTAAAGCAACATTTTTAAATGCCTACAGTTCATATTTTGGTCTCTTCAGTTTCATGTCAAGTACTAATCAATCTTATTGGTAGCAAAGAGCTTTACGGACTCTATGTTTTTTGTTTTAATTGGGGAACAGTCTATTTTTCCAGGACCCATCAGCTCCAAGTCAAGCAGTTGTTTCAATCTAGTTGTGGAGGGTGCATCTCAGTGGCCCATGCGGGGATTGAACCGGCAGCCTTGGTGTTATGAGCACTGCGCTCTAACCAGCTGAGCTAACCGGCCGCCCCACGGATTCTATTTTTAACATTCATTATTATACTTTATGTATACTTTTGTTTAATATAGGGGAATGAAAACCAAAACAAAAAACTCCTTCATTCCAATATATGTTTTAAAAAGGTTGTTTGTATAGTGAATGAAGGGAAATACCAAGCTGGGAAACAAGTCTCTGCATTTAGTCAAGTTAAACAAAGATTTATTTTACAATATAGAAGATACTTCGCTAAGTGTTTCAAACACATAAGAGAAAACAAAATAGTAAGGTTTGCTAGAGAAAATACACAGGATCACTTATTTACAATTTTTGAGAAGAATCAATTTGGTACCTTTCATGGCCTCTTCAAAAGAACAAGGTCTTGCTGGACTAGATATTTCCTTCTTCACATTTACATTCAAAGCACCAGCTATTGCTATAAAAAAACCCAAAAGATTAATGTATTTATTTAAACTTATCCATCTTAACAAATGTGTATTTTAAAGTTCTTTAATTGGACTATTTTCTCACGAAGTACCATTAAATAATTTGTTTAGCAGAAATTCTAGGTTGAAATGAGTTTTTATGATCACTAGTCCATGCTCTAAAATTCACCAATCTCCAACTGGGCAAAAGCATATGCTCACTTATCAAAACAAACAAACAACAACAAAAACACCATCAACTTAAAAAAATCTTTCTTGTAACAGTACACACATTGATATCTGATGAGTGAAGAGTGATATGAGACTTTTTAAACTTATCAAATATACTGTGTAACACTAGCATGAAGAAATTCACCATTCACCTACATAAATGATTTATTAAAAATACGAATTCAGGAACATTAATGTAGCTAATTTTTAAAAAACTGTGATAAACATACAGAATCTATAGCATTATGATTATTCTTTTTGTAAAGTGTTGGAAAACAAAATCTTTGCTATTATTAATGGAGAATTGCTGGGCCATTATATCTAGTCATTATCAACTACATCTACTACGACCACTTTAAATTTAATGGGCTTAAAAACAGAGATCAGTTCTGAATCATAAAGTTAAATAAATATGTTCTTGCTTAAAATGACAATATAATAATTTTATTTAAATAGACTTAATTTCTATTTTTCAATGTATTTATTTTATATTCCTTAACTTATTCAAAATGGGAATTGAGTCAGTCTATTTTCAATTCATTATTCTTGACATGACAATGTGAAATAATAGTTATAGACTACAGAGATAGTTAATTGTGAATAAAGAGGTAAAATATATACATCTAAGAATGAAGTTAAATAATTTATCTTAGCATGCTGCACAGGAGGTCCAACAAATGATATACAGAGAATTGAACGGAAAAGGAATCCATAGGCAATTTTTTTTGTTTTGTTATTTTTTAAAGATTTTATTGGGGAATTGGGAGAGGGGAACAGTGTTGGGGAATCGGGGAAAGGGAGCAGACAAGTTGCTGTTCTTTGGTTCTTCAGTCTAGTTGTGGAGGATGTCGCTTCACTGGCCCATGTTGGTATTATCATTGTGCGCTTCCTGGGTGAGGCAGATTGGTCACCGGCCTCTGGACAGCCGCTCACAGCGGCTCTTGGCAGCTCACACTGGCTGCTGGCCACACACGGTAGCTCACAGCAGCCCACTGCAGCAAGGACTGCAGCCTACGCCATTGCCGGCAACTCATGGATCCCAGCTCCAGGTTGAGCTGTTGTTCACCATCTTAGCTGTAGAAGGCGCAGCGTCACTGGCCCTCATGTGGGATCCGAACTGGGGCCCTGCTGCACAGAGCTGGCATCCCAAGCCGGCTCTTAACTAATGCGCCACTCGGCCAGCCCTCCACAGGCAATTTTTAAGCATAACATTCTAACAATTACAGATTTAAAAACAGAAACTAATCTTTGAAAAAAAATTAGATTTCTACTTTTAAATCAAGTTTTAGCCATTTTATTTTAGAGCAACAAAAAATATAAGTATTATATCCCCCATTTCTTAATAAGAATCACCACTGCAAAGTCACTGCAAAAAATACCTAACGTGATTTCTGTGTGTTAGTAGACCAAAGTGGGGGGGGGGAGAGAATCAAAGGTGCTTTAATGGTTAAGCAAAGCTTCAGTGACTAAGTGGCAATGAAACAAAGGTTTTATGACTCTGCAAAGTATCTAAGCGCTGGACAGCGCACATGCAATGTATTTTTGGCAGTATAGACCCAGAGGGCTTTAGGATAATATACTTAATATATTTCATAATACACTTTTTACCCAGAGATCTAAACTTTTAACATTTCAATTGCTCTTACTGCTCTGGTTTCTAAAGCATCTATTTTACCTAAATGCTTAAAATTACATTTAAAATATTGGGTTGTTGGAAAAGTCATGACGCATTTTTGCAATGAAAAACATAGAAAAAAAATGTCATGACTTTTCCGACAACCCAACAGAAGTTTCCCAAAGTTGTCACTTTCACTTAGGGGTAGTGACATAAGAGGTACTCAATGAATGGTAATTCTTATTAAAGAGTAACCTGTATGATAACTCTGGAAAGTCTGACTTCAGAGCATGCCTAGCTTTTCTTTTATTATTAGCGCATAAGGCAGAAATGATTCCCTTAAACTTAAAGAGTAAAAGCAGTATTTGGTGTCCATCTTAGGAAATACGCCATCTTTAAAAAATACTAGTATCAATTCATCTTAGTATACAACTTTTCCTTTTTGGTTAGTTTGTCTTCATACCCTTCCAAAGTACTAGAAATTAATTATTAATTTTAATTCAGAATTTAAAATTTTTGACATACCTGGGTCTGGAGTGTAAGTGAATGGCTGAACATCATGAGATCTTCCAGCATTGGTCACTACATATATTCCCACTGATACTGGCAAAGTTATATGTTGGTCATGATATGGGGGAACCTTCACAATAAGATGATTCTAATTTAAAGAAAATTACAAGAGTCACAAAAGAAGCAATATTTAAATTGAAATTTTGAAATAAAAATTATAATTAAGTACATTTCCTGTTAGCTATAGTTTTAAAAGTCTGACTGGGAAAAAAATGTATTTTAAAGTTCAGGTTCACAGGCATCAGGACATTAATCTTAAAACTGCTTTTAAAGTAAAATCCAAATGTTTTACAATGGCTTACAAGGTCCCTGCCCTGTCAACTGTATCTCATTCCTATTCTCCCAGCTGATTACACTCTAGCCACACCAACCTTCTCAGTTCATTCTTTTAACATACTAAATTCATTTTTACTTTAGAGCCTTTACAACTCTCCCACTGGAATATTCTTCATTCACCTCTTCAAATGGCTAGCTTCTTACCCACTTTCAGATCTTATTAAAATATTACCTTCTCAAAGAAGCTTCCTCTGACCATCCTATTTAAAGTAGCACCCCACTCTGACCTGATCACCTAATCTTGTTTACTTCTAAAATAGCACTTATCACCAACTGAAATTACTGTGATTATTTGCTTGTTATTTGGTCTCTCTCCAACTTCAAGAATTTAAGGTCCATGAGAACTAGAATGTTTTGTTCTTCATTCTATCTCCATTGTTAAGCACCTTACACAAAATACAGACAAACATATTTACTGAATAAAAGAATGAATAAATTTTGAGGAAAAAATATGCCCATCAAGCACAATATCAGTTAACACACGTTTTGTACAACCTTAATTGAGATTACTTGACAACACAGTGCTTCCTAATCACCTTAATTCTCATTTAGGCAAATAAGGTTCAGTTTTCCCAAACCCCAGTAAGTCAGTTATTTTCTGTCAGAATAGTGGCAGGAGCATCTGTTAAGAAATGGGAAACATTCATAAATGCTTCCCCAGCACTATTCAAGGGTACTACATCGTGGAAGATACTGTGAACATTAGACTCATTCTCTTCTTCCCTAGGACATGATGGTAATGGAAAAGAACATCAAAGGATGGTGATTATGCTTCTGTACTGAGGATGTGCTGATAGCTGAGGGGAAAGTGAGTCTGATGACATTTTTTATTTAGTTAGATTATAGTTGATCGACTCAGCTGAACAGAACATGTGACACATAAGGCCGAGGTCAAGGTTTCAACTTCGGAGCACTTAAGTCGTTTCTAAGCCATCTTAAAACACTCTCTGATACAGTCACATTATAAATAAAAAATAACTTCTGACTTATGACATTAACAGAATGTTAGCCATCTAAACAAAATGACACTTTTAAGCTAGGTGGAAAAACACATATACATATGTGTATACCCACAGCAGGCAAAAATCCGAAAGCATGTACTCAATTGCACATGAGGTCATCAAAAAAGTACCTGCACTGATCCAACTTCTAAGAAACAATTTTAATAACTTGTCTACCCTCATTTTTACTTTTGTTTAAACAAAGCAGTCTTACCTACAATTAAAAAGATGGTTGAATGGATGGACACCTGAAGTATCTTCCTAGTCTTAAAATTATTTGACCTACTCTACAGTTGAAATTATTCTTTTCAATAAAAACTTGTTTCTGGTCATTAATGACAGTAGTATCTAAAAGACACATTCATATTTAAGCAAATCTAATTTAAAATCTTTTAAAAACCAAATGATACTATTTTGATATGAACTCTTCATACTTCCTCAATCTGAATCTAGAAATTCTACAAGTGCTTTGAATTAAAAACTAAGTCAATTGTGCATAGTGATAGAAAGTTGTTTTCAAATACTACTCTCACAAATTAAGTGCAGTTAACTACCACTGAGCTAGGAGTACAATATAGATAAAACATGCAAAGGGTTGGGGAGGCCTTTGGAGCTGTACAATGTTCTCTGTGGTAAAAAGAGAAAAATATTTTAATTTTAAATTCTTAGAAAAATCGTCTTGGATTCAAAATAACGATTTTCTTTGTCCCAGGAGATAATCTTTTTCGGAGTTTATAAGCAATGGTGCTAGATATTTTTAACTCTTAAAAGATAAATTATTATTCCTAAATAAAACCAATTTTAAAACACATAACCTCTAAACTCAAGCCTTTGTTTAGTCTAGTTGTTCAAATTCCGTGGATCTTTATGTCATTTCTTTCAAGATTTCTTTCCATGTTTATAACTGAAAATTCCATCTTCTTCAAAACTTCTCAGTATATACTCTAAAAAATGCAATAGAAAGAAGCCAGAATCCTAAAGGTTGAGAAACAATAATCTACACTATTTTCTACTTTTGATACACTAATGCCTGTTTCACGTTTTGCAAAACAAATTATTTTTCAATCAAACTGTATCCCTCTTCCTAGTTTCTAATATGTTGTTAGCTTCTAGCTCCCTTTTGAAATCACCTCCACATTTCAAACTGCTAAACTCTCTTGCTTTCTTTCAAAACCAACATATACATATGTAATAAACATATTTTACATATAGCGGTGTCTTTAAATATACATTTAATAGACAATTAAGGTCCTACAGAACTTATCTAAAGCTGTTAAAATGGGAGTAGATATAATGACCATGTGCTTATCACATCTGGTATACATGAGCATGAAATGTATTACAGCCTTGACCAGAAGAGCCAAATATTAAACAAAGAGCTGTTTTCCTAGACTTCATTAATCTCAACTTTTATATAACAGAAAAAGTTTAATACCTGAAGAGTTGAGTTTGGGCTTACAAATGAATAGCTATCACAATTATTCATAATTTTAATTTGCAAAGTTATCTTTAAATGATCTTTTCTACTATACCATCTTTGGGCATTTTTTAAGATTGTAGAGGCTCTTTCAATTTTTCTGTATCGGCCTGATATTTCTTTATTGACTACACTCAAAGTTTTGTCTCTTTTAATAGATTTTTTTTTTTTTTTTTTTTAGCTGAGCCATCCTGCCACCTGTTGGCAGCTCAGCTCAGGCCGGGACTCAAACCACTGTTGCTCAAGAGCTCGCACTCTTGAGCGAGCTCTTAACCAACTGAGCCACTCAGCCGGCCCTCTTTTAATAGATTTTTTAATCACCCTTCCCTCTAAATGTTTAATTTTGTGGGGTTTTTTTTTCTCTAATATAGTCTCTAGGATCAATTCTCTATATCTCAGCTCTGATTCCACTCTAAAATACTTCCCAGAAAGCCCTTTAGGAGAAAAAAACCAGAAAGTTCTCTCTGAAAAAGAAAATTTTAAAACAAACAGAACCACAGAATTAATGAAAGATCGTATTATAATTTAGTTTGTTTACATACTTGCTTGCAAAAACCACAGGACTTCTAGATATAGCTACCAAATAAGGACATAGTTCCTTTCTATTCCACCGTGTCTTATTTTCATGATTATTCTTTAGTCTATTGTAGCTGGCATAACTAAACTAGAAAAAAGTATTTAAAAAATGTAACTACCCATTCCTCAAAGGGAAGGAAGGAAGGAAGGAAGGAAGGAAGGAAGGAAGGAAGGAAGGAAGGAAGGAAGGAAGGAAGGGAGGGAAGAAGGGGGAGAAGAAAGGATAAGGAGGGGAAAGGAAGGAGGAGGAGGAGGAAACAATAAAGATTTCTTAATATTAAGTTCTTATGAAACAGCAAGTTAAGATTATTATTTGTTGGGGCTACTTTATTAATATTTTGTATTATTTATTAGGCAAGTCTCTTGGTCTCTAGAACTAGTTTTCTTACCTAAAAAACTGCATCATAGGATAAAGTAAGGAATAACAATTGTAATAGAATATTACTAGCAAAGGAATTTACATCAATCTATCCAACTTATCAAAAAAAAACAAAGAACAAAAAACATGTTCATAACACACCAAAGAATTACAAAGATGAATTAAGCATCAGTCAGGACCAAAACTATAGGCATCTAAGAACCTAGTTGAAATTAGGGTTTGAAATGCCCTCAAAAGGAAGAACAAGGGACCTCAGATCCCCAAGTCCTCTTTTTCTTCAATGTGAATAAAATGAACTAACAAAAGGTTTTCATGAGTATCTATTAAGTGTTTAATATTATGAGGAACACAAAAGAGTCACAATAAATTGCCCCTAACCTCTAGGAGTCCTCCAGAGGAAGCCACTGTTGGTTCATGGGAGTAGAAATGATTTGATCAACAAGTTATACAAGAAATTGTAAAATGTCAGAGTTAGAAGGAACCTCAAATCTAGCAAAAGAGCTTATTTTACAGATTAGAAAACTAGGGCACAAAAGTGACTTGTCTTACTTAGGGGTAACACAGATTGTTAGTGACAAAGTAGGTACTAGGGCATCATTTAAGACCAGTCTAGCAGAGTGTCCAGTGGTGTATGTGACAAAGGAATGACTGTTGAGGTCCCACTATTGCTTTTGGGCATCATGTAGGAGCATAAGGCTGGAGGAAAACTTCCTACATAGCATTTGTCTAGTTAGTATATAGGAAACTCCACTTTACATAACATTATGTAGTGAAGAATTCATTTCACCCAAAGTGAGATCTAGCCTTTGCCCTTGGCTACTAGGAGGTCCCTAATAGATCTCTAGGCCCCTGGAATGCCCTATCTGATAGGAGTATCTTTATTTGTTTGATAGCTTTGGCCACTGGGCAGTCTAACAATGAGGTTTATGAAGGGGGCTTTGGAACATATCAGTTCTGACCTCTAGTGGAACTGGAGACTAAACGTTAGCTGCATAGGCAGTATGTTATCAAGCCTCAATAAAAACTCTGGACACCAATGGCTTGGATGAGCTTCTTGATTGGAAATACTCTGCATATTGTCAAATACTAATGTGCTAAGAGGGAAAGGCGTCCCCAAGGACTAGTTTCACCTTCAGGGCCCTCCCAGAGAGACTTGATCTATGCGTCTCTCCCTTTGGATAGTTCTGATTTGTGTCCTTTTGCTATAATAAAACTAAAATAGTTAAGTGTAGGACTTTCCTGAATTCTGTAAATTGAGGGGGGAGTGGAATCCCTTGAATTTGAAGCCAACTGTTCAAAAGTAAGAGCGGCCATGAACTTGTGTCTGGTGTTTCAAGTGAGGGCAGTTTTAGGAAGCAATGTGCCCTAAGCTTTGAGTTCAGCAATATATTGGATATAATATATTGGATATATGAGAGTAAAGGGGGTAAAAAATGTGGTGATGGAAGAAGAACTGACTCTGGGTGGTGAACACACAATGTGATATACAGATGATGCATTACAGAATTGTACACTTGAAACCTATGTAATTTTACTAACCATTGTCACCCCAATAAATTTTAATTATAAAAAAATTTTTAATTAGATTTTTCTAAAAAAAACAAAGATAAATTTAAAAAAACACAAAGGAATTATAAACTTTTTTGATAAATTGGCTATCGATTCTCCAATTTTTGCCTCTTCTCTGCTTGCTTTCATGTTCTCTTTTCTATTCCTATCAGCATTTTATGCTAAATTTTAGGCTTTGGGTATTTTATACATACTGCTCTTCTGCATATCTTCTATCTGATTTGCTCATAAGTTTTTACTTCTCTTCTGCTAGTCTCAACATCTATGAGTTTGGTCCTACTTGTTCTACATACTAATTCTTTTTTTTTTTTTAAGATTTTTTTTTTTT